CACTCGAATGTTTATAGCAGCACAATTCATAATTGCAAGGCTGTGGAAACAGCCCAAGTGCCCATCAATCCAAGAATGGATTAATAAAATGTGGTATATGTATACCATGGAGTACTATTCAGCTCTAAGAAACAATGATGATATAGCACATCTTATATTATCCTGGTTAGAGCTGGAACCCAGACTATTAAGTGAAGTATCCCAAGTATGGAAAAACAAGCACCACATATACTCACCAGCAAACTGGTATTAACTGAGTAGCACCTAAGTGGACACATAGGAACTACAGTAATTGGGTATTGAGCTGGTGGGAGGGGGCCGGTATATACATACATAATGAGTGAGATGTGCACCATCTGGTGGATGGTTACGCTGGAACCTCAGACTTGTGGGGGGAGGGGGTAAAGGGCATTTATTGAAACCTTAAAATTTGTACCCGCATAATATGCCGAAATAATAAAAAAAATATATAAACTATTAAAAATAGAAATTTTAGAATTGAAAAATACAAAAATTGCCAGGCACGGTAGCTCACTCCTGTAATCCTAGCATTTTGGAAGGTCGAGGTAGGCAGATCACTTGAGCTCAGGAGTTCAAGACCAGCCTGGGCAAGAACGAGACCACCGTCTCTATTAAAAAAAATAGAAAACATTAGCTGGGCATGGTGGGAACTTGTAGTTCCAGAGACTTGGGAGGCAGAGGCAGGAAGATTGCCTGAGTCCAGGAGTTCTAGGTTGCAGAAAGAAAAAATAAAGAAAGAGAGATGGCCGGGCGCGGTAGCTCACGCCTGTAATCCTAGCACTCTGGGAGGCCGAGTAGGTGGAAAGCTTGAGGTCAGGAGTTTGAAACCAGCCTGAGCAAGACCGAGACCCTGTCTCTGCTATAGATAGAAAGAAATTAATTGGCCAACTAATATATAGAAATAATTAGCCGGGCATGGTGGTGCATGCCTTTAGTCCCAGCTACTCGGGAGGCTGAGACAGTAGGATCACTTGAACCCAGGAGTTTGAGGTTGCTGTGAGCTAGGCTGATGCTGTGGCACTCACTGTAGCCTGAGCAACAAAGTGGGACTCTGTCGCAAAAAAAGAAAAAAAAAAATGAAAA